TGGATGGATGGATGGATGGATGGATGGATGGATGGATGGATGGATGGATGGATGGATGGATGAAGTTCATGTGAAAAATTTTCAAAGAATATACTTAAAATCTGACTAAGCCTGCAGATACTATGACACTATAAGTATATCTAAATTTTATTATCACCCTGTGCACCCATTTTGTATGTCTCCTATTTAAAGAGACTGCTCTAGATGTGGTTATCAAGCTAGGTTCCTTGGCATTTTAAAATTATACATTAGTCTTCCTAGAGTGTTTCCTTAGTATATACGTGACAGTCTGGTAGAAATGAATAGAGGGATTTTGCTTCGTTAATAACCATGTTCATACTGAGTAATAACTTGATGTTCAGGGAATAACATTTCTGATTAACTCAAGAGCAGAGTTATTAACTTATGGTCCAATTAAGTGATGGCAGTAGATTTCAGGGGACCATAAATTAATTGTTTCTGGTTATCTGAATAATCTTTTTCAGAAATTGTCTATTCCATGAATAATTTAAAAATGTAAAAATGATGAATAATAAAGAGTCTAAATCCCAGTAAGAAACACATAATGAGCAGAGCTAAACCTTCGGTGGCTTCAGGTCTTGCAATTAGCCTTTTACACACACACAATTACATATACACATATACAATGGTACACAATTAAAATTAATGTATAATTTTAAAATGCTAAGAAAACTGGTATGATAGCCACATGTAATGTATATTGAAAGCTATGTCCGTCTGTATGCATGTTTCTAGGTTTTGTTTGTTTGTTATTGTTGTTTTCTATCACTGGACCATGAGCCTCTTGCAGACAAGCAATTTGTAGATCTTTGTGTCTAAATTGGTTTGCAGAGATCTGGTCCATGATGCATCAATGAGTTTGTTACACAAACAACCAAAAATTAATCAAGAGTCATAAATTTTTTAGTTATTTTTAAATGTGTGTAGCTACATGTATGTGTGTGCACTGCACATATACCTGGTGCCTCAGGTTCCCTGGAACTGGAGTTACAGCCATTTGTGAGCTGCCGTGTGGGTGCCAGGCATCGAGCCAGGGTCTTCTACAAGAGCAACACATGTCATTTTTCATCAGTTAGCTTCCTATTTTGAGGTTCATCCCTGGGATACCATGTGTCAGTAGTTCCATAATTGTATTGTACCCATTAGCTTAAAATTAAAATGAATGCATAACTCATAAGAAATTGAACTGATAAACAGTATTATATTCACTTAACCAAAAGTTATTCAAAATTGAATGATGCCTACATGATTGAAATACATGTAAGTGACTAGGACCTAGAGCTAACTGTCAGAGAAACACATATAATCACTCATAAAATTCAGAGAGAATCAATCACTGTGTCAAACTGCAACTAGGTAGTGTTTTTCAAAAGAAGAAAATGTTTGTGGGAATATTTGAGAATATTATTCAAAATATTTATATTGGAGATACTCAGTTTAATGAATAGAGAGTACAGAGAAATAATACCTTTGAAGAGAATAATATTTCAAGAAATAAGTGTATCCTGTGAAACTAAAGTGCAAGTCACAGAGGAAATATTTTGGGGAAGAATTAGACCAAAAAGCCTTTGCTTATTACCATAAAAGGGAAGGCTGGCTATTATATTTTAGAGTTCATAGGTTGTATGAGCAAAGGAGAAGCATTAAGGAATAATTATTTTCATTATTTCAACCAAGTTAGGAAGGACAGAGGAAGAGAGAAAAGACCCTACAAGTATGTGCTGCCTACTCGGTTATCCTTCACCTCAGAACACTCAGTCCCACCTGGTCCTTAACGCCCTTGGTGCTGTGTGAGGGAGCGCGCAGCTCCAGGATTTTGAGTGGCAGACGTGTGGGGAGGGAGGAGCTGGGGACTTCCATTTTCTCCCATGAAGGTCTTCACTTGGCTTAGGGTTCTATAATGGTTTGCTTTGGTTTGGTTTTGCCATTTGTAGTTTATCATAGACTGAAACACAGATCAGATTTCACTTTTTCCAAATAGTTCTTTCTAGTAAATGGTACATGTACTGGAAATGGAATGTACTTGACTTGGACTTTTTTATCAAATACAGAATTTTTCTGCATATGCTTTGGTTGTTTTCTGAAGTCTCTGTTTTGTTCCTTTGTCTGCCTGTCCAAATCACATATTTTTTAAGTGTGAGTGTGTGAGTGTGTGAGTGTGTGTGTGTGTGTAGATACATACATACCTGTGAGTACAGGTCCCCAAGGGGACGAGAATCCCTTGGAGCTGGAGTTCTGGGTGTTTATGAGCCGCCCACTGTGAGGGCTAGAGACTGAACTCAGCTCTTCTGCAAGAGCAGCGAGTACTCTCTTAACCTCTGGAGCCCTGGAGCCATCTCTTCAGCCTTACACTTTGTTTTTTTTTTTTTTTTTTTCTTAATTACTGCATCTTGGTAGCACCTGATATTACCAGGAGGGGCTAGATGAAGTTCAGCGTTTCTGTTTGCCCTACCCCACTCCACACTCACACACACCACACGGCCCTACCCACTCCACACTCTCACACACTACACGGCCCTGCCCACTCCACACTCACACACACTACACG